AAATACCTCACCTCACCACTAAAAATACCTCAATAGTTCGTTCTTAGGTATTTCAGGTTTGTGTATGCCAATTAATTTATTGACGACGATGATTGTTAATGATAAAATTGACGTACGAGTCGCTGGCAGACAAATAAACCACTCCATGAAGCTTACACCACAGCAGCGAAATTTGCTTGTAAAGCGCCATCTATTAACGAAGGACTATATTGTATTGCACTATCTACCTGATTGCATCTATGAATTATCGAAATAAGTTACAATTCAGTGTCAGAACTGTGTTTGCGGCACCACTGATAAGACTGGTGAAAATTATCGAACTGAAAACCTTTTTTAAACAAATTCAGAAAATGTTTTACTACTTCATCAAAATTAAACGTCTTAATAAATAACAAAACTCCTAATTTAACCCGGAAGATAGTAATATTGCAAAAAAATATTATAGCGCCATCTGTTAGTTAATATTGAAAGCAGTTCTAGGAATAGTTCCAATAGTCATGAGTAGATGACGTTATAATTTCAGACATTGATTTCTACAACATTTGTTATCACTAATCAAATTCGTTTTTCAGACGTAGGTACCTATATTTTTATAAAGGTGCACGTCGCTTGAAAACATTTAATCAATAAACTACAAATTAGTTAACAATAGATAAATTGCATTTGGTGGCCATTTTGGCAACTACATAGATTATCTAATTTTTTATTTCAATTACTAGCTCTTCCAGAGCGTGTTGTTTACCCATTTTTGTTTACACACTTTGTTTTGAAGTCGTCGTGGCCTAAAGGATAAGTAAGACGTTCGGTGCATTCGTATCTTGTGATGCATCGGTGTTCGAATCCCGTTGGCGAGTACCAATTTATTGAAATACGTACTTCGCAAATGTTCACGATTGACTGAAGTCGTCGTGGCCTAAAGGATAAAACGTCCGGTGCATTCGTGTTGAGCGATGTACAGCGAATAACTAGTAACATCGTGTAATACAAATCAAACCCGCAAAATTATAATTTGCGTAATTGCTGGTGGTAGGACCTCCTGTGAGTCCGCACGGGTAGGTACCACCACCCCGCCTATTTCTGCCGTAAAGCAGTAATGCGTTTCGGTTTGAAGGGTGGGGCAGCCGTTGTAACTATACTTGAGACCTTAGAACTTATATCTCAAGGTGGGTGGCGCATTTACGTTATAGACATCTATGGGCTCCAGTAACCACTTAACACCAGGTGGGCTGTGAGCTCGTCCACCCATCTAAGCAATAAAAAAAAACATACTTTCCGGTGGATTGCGACAACTTGCACTTTGAGGTATTCGGAGGCCAGCTAAAGCTTGATCATAGCTCTCACTAAGCAGCAGAACTAATTTTGTTTGTCTACTGTCTGCGCGTGATAAGGGTAAACATTCACGCGCAGAACTTATCAAAAGATTACATAATACGAGATATTATGTTTCCATTACTTGTTCACAAGCAAATAGGACTGTTGTATGCCCGCCGGATTAGTGGCAATCAATAAAATAAAATAAACTGAAAAGAATACATTTTAATGGCACGTCTTGAAATGGATGAATATTACAGATATATTCAGGTCTAGACTATTATAAAAGTTGTTTACTTTCATTAATCATTTTTTTATCATCGCACCTCCCGCCATCGGAGCAGGGTTCATCCATATTATCTGGAACCGCTGCGTTCATCGACAGTGCGTTTCCAAAGATCTTTTTTGCCACGTACCATCCGGCCTTGGAATGAGCTCCCCTCCACGGTGTTTTCCGAGCGCTATGACATGTCCTTCTTCAAACGAGGCTTGCGGAGAGTGCTTTATGGTAGGCAGCGGCTTGGCTCTGCCCCTGGCATTGCTGACGTCTATGAGCGACGGTGACCACTTACCATCAGGTGGGCCGTATGCTCGTCTGCCTACAAAGGCAATAAAAAAAAAAGTCTTGTTTTTTTGTTGTTGCTTTTTTGTGTTTTTTTTTCTTTCACTAGAACTCGTAATTTTATGTGTAATTTGGTTTTCTTGTTTTCCATAACTAATTTGGAGGCTCGCTATGTACATTCTTAAAGGTTTGCTGAGTGCATACATCATTTAGATTGCAATCCAGATCAGATTTAGGTACTATTTTTTTTTCTTTTTTATAGCTTATATGAGTAGACGAGCTCACAGCCCACCTGGTGTTAAGTGGTGACTGGAGCCCATAGACATCTACAACGTAAATGCGCCACCCACCTTGAGATATAAGTTCTAAGGTCTCAATTATAGTTACAACGGCTGCCCTACCCTTCAAACCGAAACGCATTACTGCTTCACGGCAGAAATAGGCAGGGTGGTGGTACCTACCCGTGCGGACTCACAAGAGGTCCTACCACCAGTAATTACGCAAATTATAATTTTGTATAATAATAATAAATTAATAATAAATTATAATACGTATTTCATTAGAAAAATTGGTACCCGCCTGCGGGATTCGAACACCGGTGCATCGCTCAACACGAATGCACCGGACGTCTTATCCTTTAGGCCACGACGACTATTTGTATAATTTAGTTAATATGTAGGTAATGTACTGTAATGATTGTGATTTGTTTTCATAACATCATTATCCCGCCCTTCTCCCAGTCACCTGGGGTCGGCGCAACATGTTTTCTCCTTCCACACTCTTCTATCATATACCATTTCTTCGCTCACTCCCCTCTTACCCATATGGTATTTCACGCAATCCATCTATTTCTTCTTAGGTCTGCCTCTTCCTCTATATCCTTCCACATTCATAGTTAGCGTTCTCTTACCGACCTCATTTTCATTTCGTCTCATCACATGTCCATACCACCTAACGCGCACTTCTCAGCTTCTCCGTCTCAGGTGCCACTTTCAGACTTCCTCTTGACATATTCATTTGTTTTATTTTGTGAACCGATAAATAAATATCGAGATAAAATAATTTTCGATCAGTCTACTTTACGAGGAAATTATTGTTTATTGCGTGACCATGGCCGACAAACGGGCGGGTCGAGGATTAATGCGATTATCGAATCGGTATCTAAATTGTTGTTCATAAACGATAAAGCAATGAAATTATACTTTTTATTGTAGCATTATCACGTAATACGGTGGGTTCCTACCGGGTTTACATTGTTCACACATTAGACACGTGAACTTCACACTCGCTTCTATCTGAAGGAAGTGTTAACCAATAATATATTTCAGTTTTATTAGTAAAACCAACCGTATACCGACAAATATGGCGATATTTCATTGGAATCTACTTTTACAATGAATGAGCTCCGAGTGAAAATTATTTATTAACTAGCTAACCCGGCAGACTTCGTAGTGCTTCGATAAATAAAAGATCTAAACTTTTGTATAAAATAAAATATAAAAAAAAAGTGTGGTGTCGTGGGACACCGGATAGGAACGAAGTTCCCAATTATAAAAATATTAATTTAAAGTTCTATTCGAGGTATGAAGAAAGAAAGAGAGACAGAGAGAGAGACAGACAGACAGACAGAGAAACATGCGACGCCGCACAGCTTACAATAGCTTACTATAGCAAAAAGTGTCGTGACAACTTTTCGTAAGAATTTATAGCAAAAAGTGTCGTGACAACTTTTCGTAAGAATTTTTTCCGTCTAGCCCCCTTTCACAACGCGCGATAAGGAACTTCGTTCCAATAAAACAAAAGAAATCCGTCCGACAGGGGACACATTAAAGGAAAAACAAAATTGTTATTTTTATTTAATTCCGAGAATTTTCATATTTACCTACCTTTTAAACCTTTTCTGGACTTCCACAAATAATTCAAGATCAAAATTAGCCAAATCGGTCCAGCCGTTCTCGAATTTTAGCGAGACTAACGATCAGCAATTCATTTTTATATATATATAGATAAATGGAACGCAATTGGTTTAATATAAATAAGTAATGTAAATGAAAATTAAAAAAAAGCCATTTGAGGATATGCCGTTGATTTAATATGCCCGGTATCACTCCCACAACTAAGACGAACAAAAATTGACATCTTCCATGTTGCATACAGTCAAAAGAATTCTTCGAGCGGTAGAGCCTCGCGCCAAATGATATTACTTTAATTCATTTTTCGGGGACAGTGTATATATATTATATATAAGAATATATTATATCGGACCGCTGAGATGGATCTAATGGCACCTCGTGATATAAAGCCGTCCAACTTAGGCTGTGCAGGTCACTAAAGATTAAGACATACATGTTCAATCAAAATATGAACATTTGAATTTTATTGTAAAATTGTAATGGTTACACTTAAGTGCTAACTAAGTTAGCTAATTTTAAGATTTGCTCTTGGCAATCCTCTCTTCCGTTCCAGCCTTTTAATTTTAAAACTGTCGTCGTGACCTAAACGATAAGACGTCCGGTGCATTCGTATCTAGCGATGCACCGGTGTTCGAATCCCGCAGGCGGGTATCAATTTTTCTAATGAAATACGTACTTAAAAAACGTTCACGATTGACTTCCACGGTGAAGGAATAACATCGTATAATAAAAATGAAACCCGAAAAATTATAATTAGCGTAATTACTGGTGGTAGGACCTCTTAAGTCAGCACGGGTAATTGTAAAATAAGAATAAACGTGAATGTTCATTTTATAAGCCTGTATATATCTTATTTACACATGACTTATTGGTCCTTCGAGCCGGATATGAACCAGCAAACTATGTATGTATGTTCATGCACTTAAAACTTCGAACTTAAAACATTACATACTTCAGCTGTTGTGTAAAAAGACATTGAATAAATACGGGTGATAAAGCCGTTAAAGAAGCTTGAATTAATTTTGAAATATTTTTGTTTGTTATAAAGTCGAAATTACGTAAGAACAGTGATAAGGGCACGGCGGTATAATTCGCTCAACACGCTATGAATTTATGAATATTGTGTTTCGCTTCATGATCACAATGAAAAAAATAGTATAAAAATTCACGCGCCTACGTTTCTGCCTTATTGCGGATTTTACTAAGGTATTCAAATGGCTTACGTCGCTTTGGTGCTCTTGTTGGTGGCAGGTAAGACCGTTTTGAATTAAACGACCTGACCTGTTAGTTGTAATCAAAACTCTCAGACATTAGAAGATGGATGACGCAACGTAACTTTGGGACATGGGGTCCAGGTCTTAGTTGTATATTAAAAGGGTTTTTTTCGGACACGGTGCCAAACCTTACGCATGAGGTTGCGCTTAGGGGGTTTGCGTGGTATGAGGATCTTCACAGTCCACAGATGTTGGGAGCGAATCGCGGACCCAAGTATTTTGGGAGGAGAACTGTATTTAGTCTTCTTTGGTCGGGAAAATTCGGACCCCATTATGCTTTTGTACATGACTACGATTGGACGCGTTTTTCATAATTTATCTCCTGAAAAGTATGGTCTATCAGTTGGATAACGTTCCATCTCTGTTTCCTTTTTAAAATTTCACAATATTTTTCAGCCGTGAGCTGCTCCAGCAATGATATCATTGGCACTCCCGTTGAAGTCACAACGTTTCCCAGTATTGTCCAGGTTGAGATCCGCGTAGGTGATTATTGGATCCAGAAGTGCGCTGGAGGTATCATCACCAATTACCACATCGTCTCTGTCGCCACGTGTTTTAGTGGAGCGTGAGTATTGGATATTTAAGGTCATAGTGTGTAGTGTAGTATTGGCTTAGGTCCTATTTTTTTCATACATATCAATAAATGTGACTAAAACAATCATGAGAAGTTGTACAGAAACGTTTTCTGAGTATTACACTAGCATATACGATCTTGGTCTTTTTAAGAAATCTTTATCTCCCATCTATCCCGTATTCTTTTCGTGTCCTTACGACCTTAGTATCCATCTGATCTTAAATAGTGATCGTAACATTGTGAAACATCTGTTTGAAGTCTTAATTTTAAAGTAATAATGGCAGCTCAACTCTTCAAACTGGAGCACAAGAATACTTCGCGGCAGAAATAGGTAGGATCTATCTAATTGGTCTAAGAATAAACGGTGTGGACAAACTCACAGTCCACCTGATGTTAAGTGGTCACTGGAGCCCATAGACATCACGCACATGTGCCACCCAACTTGAGATATAAGTTCTAAGGTCTCAAGTATAGTTACAACGGCTGCCCCACCCTTCAAACCGAAACGCATTACTGCTTCACGGCAGAAATAGGCGGGATGGTGGTACCTACCCGTGCGGACTCACAAGAGGTCCTACCACCAGTAATAAGGAGATATTCTATTTATTATTACGATTGTCACTATACAGTAACTACAGTCCAGAACGCCGTCGAGTTAGAGCAGGCGCCAGTCGACGCGGTGAAGCCGGAAGTATTGTCTACGTTATGCAGGAATACAACCACTATTACTTCGGTTCCTTGGACGCTGACGGTGACATAAGCGTCGTCCGTCTCACCGGTCCCCTGACCTTCAGTACCGGCATAGCTCAGGCTCCTATTGTCGGACAGGGGATTGAGCTGCCTTCAGGACTTAAAGTTGTGAACGTTGGCTGGGGCACCACTGTTGTAAGTATTTAATAATCAATTCCTTACCTTCGGCACCGCAAAAAGGCTCTGTTATGGTGCCTAATGTATATATATAAAAATCAATTGCTGTTCGTTAGTCTAGCTAAAACTTGAGAACGGCTATGGAATGAGCTCCCCTCCACGGTGTTTCCCGAGCGCTATGATATGTCCTTCTTCAAACGAGGCTTGTGGAGAGTATTAAGCGGTAGGCAGCGGCTTGGCTCTGCCCCTGGCATTGCTGAAGTCCATGTGCGACGGTAACCACTCACCATCAGTTGGGCCGTATGCTGGTCTGCCTACAAGGGAAATAAAAAAAAACCGCTGGACCGATTTGGCCAATTTTGGTCTTGAATTATTTGTGGAAGTCCAGAGAAGGTCTAAAAGGTAGATAAATATGAAAATGCTCGGAATTAAATAAAAATAACAATTTTGTTTTTCTATGATGTGTCCCCCGTCGGAAGGATTTCTTTTGTTTGTTTTAAGGTTATTTTATACAAAAGTTTAGGTCTTTTATTTATCGATTGAGGGACTACGAAGTCTGCCAGGTCAGGTAGTATACTTATAGTATCTCGGTTCTATTGTCCGCCTGCCTATATTCAGAAGTCGGCCCTAAATATTTTGAAGCTGAGTCAAGAACTCGAGTTCCTATCTAGCGAGTGGTCGTGGCTTACACGACTAGGTCAGGGATAATACGTGTCTATACAACATATAAAGTAAGGGCATCGTCTAAAAAAATTAAATCCTGTATACCTACTTTTGAGATACTAAGTATATCCTACCCCTTTGAGAAGTATCTAAATAATTCCTGCCTATTTCTGCTGTAAAGTAGTAATGCGTTTCGGTTTGAAGGGTGGGGCAGCCGTTGTAACTATACTTGAGACCTTAGAACTTATATCTCAAGGTGGGTGGCGCATTTACGTTGTGGATGTCTATGGGCTCCAGTAACCACTTAACACCAGGTGGACTGTGAGCTAGTCCACCCATCTAAGCAATAAAAAAAAAATAAAAAAAATAGTAGATATAAAACCAACAAAATACGAAAATCCAAACCAAGAAAATCCATAGGGGTGCTTTTCAGGATATTATCAAAATAACCCTTCTACTCAAATTTGTTCATAAAAAATTTATAACTACTGATACCATGCACCCCACGCTTTTTTTTACAATAAAATTCTTCTTACATTTCTTACACTATTTTTAATTCAAATTTATTAAAATTTCTTTTCTATTTTTAGTTGGATTTTCTATAAAAGCGTATTTTGTTAGTTTCTTTAAACTATTATTTATTTTTCATTTTTTAGTTGAATTTCAATTTTTTCAATATTTGTTTTGAATTTTTTTTAAAATATTAATTGAATGAATTGTCATCGTTCATTAATACCAAATTTCGAGTTAATCCGACGTTTTAAAGGGGGTCAAAATCGTGTTCAAAGATTCCGTTACATACATACGTCTGAAGCGAATAAAAGCGTGTTAAGAATAAATCGCATCCGTTCTCTCATTTTTACAGCAAGGGGGCCAGGACGTCGACGACGCCTTGTACAAACTCGACCTATTTACTCAGAACAATGACCGCTGTGTCGTTAAGTACCTTTATGCAACTAACCCCAGAGTCGTTACCGAGAATATGATCTGTGCCGGTCTGTACGGGAAAGGTCGGGACTTTGACGTCAGTGACCTTGGTTCCCCCCTCTACTATGACAACGTCCTAGTGGGTCTCCTCTCGTTTGGCGTGCCTAACGCTGATGATGAGTACCCTGTTGTCGCTACTGCTGTATCGTTTTTCAGTAACTGGATCACCAGAACCGCCGTTTAATATTAAGGATAGTTACTTAAGAATATTTGTTCATGTCTTGTACGTTTGTTTTTGTTATGTACTTAGAGCTCAGGAGAAAAACTGTACTAAAATTGTTTTTGATTCTGAATAAAGTTTCAAAAGAATATTTGTTGACTTATTTATTTATTTTTTCCATTCAATACAAAGTCAGGCTTACAGTTTGCACCAAAACGCCTAACTCGTTAACACAAAAAAACATTAAAATTATTAAGTACTATTATGATGCTAAAAATAAATAATAGTTTAAAAAAACAAAAAAAAAACGCTTTATATAAAATTCAACTAAAAATAAAAAATCAATTTTAATAAATTTAAATTGAAAATAGTGAAAATAAAAATATATTTTATTGTAAAAAAGCGTAGGGTGCTTTTTAAGATATTATTGAAATAATAATTCTTCTACTCATATCTGTCAGAAAAATATTTATGACTAATAACACTATGCACCCCACGCTTATTTTACAATAAAAAATATATTTTTTACACTATTTTCAATTTAAATTTATTAAAATTTATTTTCTATTTTTTAGTTGAATTTTACATAAAGCGTGTTTTTTAGTTTTTTTTAACTATTATTTATTTTAAATTTTTTAGTTGAACATCAATTTTTTAATTTATTTTTTCATTTTTTTTAGTATTGAATTTTGATCGGTCAACGATAAATCTACAAAGTTTGAATGAAATCTGGAGGTTTTAAGTGAGTCAAAATCGCGTCTAAAGGAGTCGGTTACAAGCATACATACAAGTGAAACTAATATAAAGCGTTTTATATTACATTATTTTAGAAAAAAGTATTCCCCAACTATCGGCAAACACATCAGATTTCGTACAAAAATTCGTTTAACAGCGCAATTGCCCTGGCCGTTGGACAGTTCCTAGCTCTACGGGTCCTTACTCAGCCTCAACTTAGTTTTTTTAAATAAAATTATATATTGCTGACTAGCGACCCGCTCTCACTTCGCTTCGAAAACTGTAATTTATTATTGATTGCTCCACTATTTAATGGATGTTATTAGACATATAAACCTTCCTCTTTAATCACTCTATGTATTAAAAAAAACCGCATAAAAAAAATCCGTTGCGTAGTTTTAAAGATTTATATACATATACATACATAGGGATATAGGAACAGAGAAAGCGAGAAGAGAAATTTTTATACTATTTAGTGAAGATATAACGGTTAATCTTGTGTTGTACTCCTCCTTCTTGCGTTGATAATTCTCAATGCTGAGTGTCGTGGCCTCACTTAGTTCAGGATTATCCTGCGCCAGACTTACCTATCCTCGCCTGCACGGATGGCATCGTGCACTGAAGTGTAGCCTGTATAGCGTATTTGGTTTGATCAGCGCATTGGCTTTCTGCAATCAAGCCTTCTTCCGCATACCTTGCAGGTTTTCTAAATCGTCACCCCTCTTTCTGGAAATGGACCCAAATAACTCTCCATGCGCGTATAGTGCTGAGTCACATCGGAATCTTAATCTTGCTAAGGATCGATTCGTCGGTTTGGCGTTCTTTCCAACGCAATAGGTCTTTATTAAAAATGGATATTGAATTTCGAAAGGTTTTAATAATTTTGAATTGTAGTTTCTATTCAGTCTGGCTGAGTCTAATGATGATTCAATAATAACGAAGAGTGCTTAAAATAAATATGATTTATAATAATTCCACTGCGCAATTAAATCAAAGAACAAAGACCATAAGTGCTATTTTGAGCTGAAAATTTTTATTTTTTATTTTTTTTATGATTTGAAGGTTACTGGTGGCCCAAAGGCCTTTCCAGTTTCACGAGGACAGGTGGGCGAGCAAAGGCTCAGCCAGGAGGGGTGGGATTCGCCCGAGCGCCTCCGAAGGAGACCTAACAACTCAAGAGCAAGAATCTACTACCGGATCGGAATCGCGACCCGCTGAGAAGATCCGGCGAGAAACTCAGCGAGCTGATGCATGGGTAAGGTTGCACGTCGACCTCTTTGCCGAGTTCGACGAGTACGGTTACCGGGGACTTGAATACAGACTTTTATAATAAACGTGATCGTTTTCTTAATAACTGTTTGCCATTTATTTTTAATCTTCCTAAATATGATCATAATATATCTTCCTGTTGTGTTCAGCTCAACTCAGCACTTGTACCTATTCGCCAACGTCGTAATTTGCGTGCACTGAAGACTCTTCACTCTTCGCTTGTGTCTATGTGTTCCACATCTAACTCCCGATTTTCAATATCTCCAGCTCCAGCTATGAACGGGCCCTACGTTCCCTCCCTAGCCTATTAATTCATTGTCCCACACATAGCTCTAGTTATAGTCGTAATTAATTTGTTGCGCAGTATATTCTGCTATGATATGCGATTCCTCCCGATAACAGGACTGTTACTAACCGGTGCGTGTTCAAGTTAAAGGTTAGGCGAATGCTGTTGAAATACTCAAGGGTATCATCTTGAATGTATTCATAATTTTTTTTCTTATATCTTAGATGGGTGGACGAGCACACAGCCCACCTGGTGTTAAGAGTGGTTACTGGAGCCTATAGACATCTACAACGTAAATGCACCACCCACCTTGAGATTTAAGTTCTAAGGTCTCAAGTATATTTACATATATCTTGAATGTATTAAGTTTATGTTAATAGATTCCCCCGAATACTCGAATATTGTGTAAACTACATATATGTATATATTTACACTTATGTATAGTATGTACGTATTTTTGTGTATGTGTATGTGTTTAATTTATTTTTCAACGGACCTACCACTATCGTGATTCTGAATCGGTAGTAAATGCGTTCGCGAAGTAACCCCCTTTGAGCTGTTAGGTGTTCTTCGGGGGCGCTCGGGCAGCCGTTAGCAAACCCCAGCTCCCCTAGCGAAGCTGGAAAGACCTTCGGAATAATAGTTATTTTTCCATCCATAAAAAAAATGCTTATTAGTTTTTTTTAGTATGCTCTTCTGTCTCTGTCTACTGCTCTTCGTTCATCCATTTCCGGAGTTGATAAACGTCAAAACATGAATGCCACAACCATCTTGAGAGGGAAGTTAAGTCTTATTTATTTTATATAACGAATATTCTACTTGTTAAACCAGGAAGCATCATCGTTTTCCGGTAAAAATAAACAGGGTACCTCCCCTGCGGGCTTACAAGACGCCCTTTTACTAGATCGTCAGAGCTTCTCACTCGCTATGTTAGAGGTTTAATAGAATTAAATAGCCAGTTTAAAATTATTATTTTATTTTAAAAGAAAATATTAGTGAACGTTTTGTAGGATCCATTCAGTGAAAGAACTGATGCTGGTGAGTACTACGGGGTAGATGTCATTGGCATTGCTCTTTCCAAAAGACACAATGCCTACCAGCGCATTTTGGAAGAAGGCAGGGGCACCCAAGTCAGTATTGTCGTAGTCGCGGCCACCAGCCCGGACCAAACCCGCGCAGAATTTGTGATCAGTCACGACGCGATCATGACCCTGGTACTGTTCCCTGCAGTTTTCTTTGTTGGTCACAATGAGTTCGAGCTTGTGGAGGTTGCCGTCAGATACACGGCCGCCTTGCTGTTTAAATGAAATAAATGGTTTAAATGTAGTTTTATTCTACAACACTTTACTGGTGGTAGGCCTATTTCTGCCGTGAAGCAGTAATGCGTTTCGGTTTGAAGGGTGGGGCAGCCGTTGTAACTATACTTGAGATCTTAGAAATTATATCTCAAGGTGGGTGGCGCATTTACGTTGTAGATGTCCATGGGGTCCAGTAACCACTTTACTCCACCGACCTAAGCAACAACAAAAAAAAACACATTTCGGTCTGGTACTGGCCTTTTACTATAGTAAATGGGGGACATTAGTTTATCTGGTTCACAGTGTCGAGCTATTGCCGGATCTCAAAGGCAAGACAAAATATAGCAAGAGTCACAGCCAGTCCACTTTATATCAAACCACCGCTAGATATTAATAAATATTTAAAACGATATCTTCATTGCTAAGGAACGATTAAGACACCCTCATTTTCGAAATAAGGTGAGACAAGTACTTTAAAAAAACTAACTATCCTACCACTGACACGATATTAAAGTTGGCCAGATTTGTCCATGAGTACTATTACATATTTATAATATACAAGAAAAGCGAACAGACCAAAAACCCTACTACGGCGTAATGGCATTACTACAGTACACCGGTGTTTTTTCAGATGAGGTCGGCTAAATACCTTGTTTCTGCTCATTGATCCCACAATAATAAAACCAGGCCATAGGTAAGACCTATTGGGTAGTTAAGACACAGTTAAGACCTTGGGTGTGGTTTAGTTTGGTTGGAGCAGTGTCGGACAGTGGTCCAGAAAAGGGTATTGAGTCTAATGCCAAGTTTTAGCAAATGACAATAATAGTTAAAAAAAATAAGAAATTGGAATAGATACTTACAACGGTAGTTCCCCATCCGAGCAGATCAACAAAAATACCCTGGGGTATTACGACACCTTGTTGGATAATAGCACCCTGCTGGATGTTTGGGCCAAAGTGGATGGCATGTGTTACTCGTACGATGCTCACATCCTTGTCGTAATTCTCCTCAGAGAATTCTGGATGGTTAACAGCAAAGTGAACATAAGATATTTCACCGGGCTCACTGCGACGGGAAGATCCAGCGATAATGCGACGGTATGCAGGATCGTAGAATCTAAAAATAATCACATTAAATACTAAATACTAACCAGGTTATATTACGTGTTACAGAATATTCTGAGGATTTTCACGATACGTACTCTCCATGGAAACAGGTAGCAGTTGAAAGGTAGTGGTAGTTGGTGAGAACAATACCAGCGCACTGTTGGAACCATTGATTCAAGATGGGTAGGAATACTTCAATTTGGACCAGGCTGGGGTGCTCGCCAATAGACACAGGTCTACCGAGATCGCTAGCAGTGCAGCTGCAGACGGCTGTATGGGAAACAAGAGCAAATTAGTATAAACAGGTATATTTATATGAATTGCACTGTGGGTTCAAGTTTGTTGTGAAAATTGATAAATGAAAAGGCTCGTTGATTGGTTTGTAAAATAGGGATATTTTGATAAAGGCTTAGTTATCGCAAATGAAGCCACGCTGATATCATATTAAAAGCAAGTTCAATGTTAGGTGAACAATATGGTTTTGTGGATTTCATAAATCTCAACACACAAATCCTCGGTCATGAAGTTAGTTAGGTAACTCTATTTTTGTAGGCTTATGAAGGAGATCACAGCCCACCTATACTATAAAAAGTTACTGAAACTCATAGACATCACAACGGCTGTTTCACCCTGGAAGCCAGAACGCATGACTGGTTCACGACAGATATATAATGGTAGTAAGGATAGTCTCAGAGGAAATCCAAATTCACAAACTTTCGGCTGCTCTTTTTATAACTCCATATAACTCATTAATAGGGGAAGTCAGGTTGAATGATTCATATTTATATATACATAAATATAATATTAGAACATACAATATATAAGATTACAGCAGTTCACAGTATTAAAGTAAAAATTTATAATTACCAGCGAGCACAGCTACGGCTAAGGTGAGAACGGAAACCATTGTTCCTATCGAGTCGAATGGAGATCTGATGAACGAATAAAATATTCGCTCCTTTTATAGATACATACATGATCTCATATTTATTACGTAAACTTTTTTTTATCAATATACAATAAAAGATTTATATTTAATCCACCTAATAGCAGAGATTAGGCGGTAGTTGTAGGTACTAGTTCGCAGGGGATATCGGAGAAATACTTTTCAGATTAGATACGGTTTCAGTGCTCTCTTGGATAGGTGGGTATCGGGCTTCCTCAATATGTGACCAATCCAATGCCACTTTGGCGTAGGGGTCTCATTCTCCATTGGTGTCTGCTTGGTGATCCTCGATGATGGTGATCGAACAGTTCTTAATTTTCGAAATTGCTCCATCAATTTTACTGAACTCTTCTGAATTGAACTTCATAGCGTGTGAGACGGTGAATAGATCACACACTAATACACAAAGCTGGATGTGAGCTGCGCAGGACTGGTCATTGTGGTGAGCCTAGGGGGAGGCCTACGTCCAGCAGTGGACATCTGTGGGCTGACGGTGATTTCATCATCATATACGACCAATCCATTAATCAACCAGCCCATCTGCTACTAAAAGGTTACTGTACCCCAGGAAATTTCTACGTAAAAGGCACCACACACTTCTTGTAACATGAGGTCTCATGTCCCAATGTATGTGGTGTAATGTAAGTTCCCAATTGTATAATATAACAGATGACACATTCTTCAAATCGAAACGCATTACTGCTTCGTGGCTGAAACAGGCAGGGTAGTTGTAGGCTCTTCCTTCTCCACACCGATCCGTCGCCACGAAAATCACTAAATGAACTCAGTGCTCGCCAAAGTCAACAACGACGAATTTAAGGCGATAGTGGAAGCTGACGATAACATGACACACTCTTCACACCCAAACGCATTACTGCTTCGTGGCTGAAACAGGCAGGGTAGTGGTGGGCTCTTCCTTCTCCGCACCGATCCGTCGCCACCGAAATCACTAAATGAACTCAGTGGTCGCCAAAGTCAACAACGACGAATTTGAGGCGATAGTGGAAGCTGACGATACTGAAACTAAAACAATATTGGTCCACTTGCTTATTACTGGTGGTAGGACCTCTGTGACTCCGCACGGGTAGGTACTACCACCCCACCTATTTCTGCCGTCAAGCAATAATGCGTTTCGGTTTGAAGGGTGGGGCAGCCGTTGTAACTATACTGAGACCTTAGAACTTATATCTCGAAGTGGGTGGCGCATTTACGCTGTAGTTTTCTATGGTCTCCAGTAACCACTTTACACCAGGTGGGCTGTGAGCTCATCCAGCCATCTAAGCAGTAATAAAAAAAACCTTGCATCATATTGGCAAATTGAAAGGACTTGATAAGTGGGTGCCGCACAAACTGAACGATAGCCAGCGCGACGAACGCTTTAAGGTATGCCTTGCGATGCTCAACAGATACAAACGAAGGGATTTTGAGCTTAATTGTCTCTTGCAATGAAAAATGAATTCTTTTTCATAATCTTAAGAGGTCATCATCTTGGTTAGAGCCTGTCCTGTAATGTCGTCCATTATTTTCGGAGCTAAAGTTCTTTGAGGCGTCGTAGGCGGTGTGCGTATCCATATAGGTAGTGTCGTCGTGGCATAAAGGATAAGACATCCGGTGCATTCGTATTTAGCGATGCAACGGTGTTCGAATCCCGCAGGCGGGTACAAATTTTTCTAATGAAATACGTACTTAACAAATGTTCACGATTGACCTCCACGGTGAAGGAATAACATCGTGTAATAAAAATCAAACCCGCAAAATTATAATTTGCGTAATTACTGGTGGTAGAACATCTTGAGTCCGCACGGGTAAGTGCCTGCCTATTTCTGCCGTGAAGCAGTAATGCGTTTCGGTTTGTAGGGCGGGGCAGCCGTTGTAACTATACTGAGAGCTTAGAACTTATATCTCAAGATGGGTGTCGCATTTACGTTGTAGATGTCTATGGGCGTGTCTATGTACGTTATTTACGAGAGACACGTATTTACGTGACGTAATACTATTATACTCTTAGTTGTATTGTATAAAGGATGCCCCAGCCTTCCAACGGGAATGTATGTCTGCTTCATGGCAGAATTAAGCAGAACGGTGGTACTTACCTACCAGGGGTTATTGTAAGCCCTTCTATAAGTAATTATCCAAATGGCTAAAGATTTTGAGTAAAGTTTTTATACACTACTAGCTTTTGCCTGCGACTTCGTCCGCGTGGAATAGTTACTTTGGCATAACGCTAAATTTTACCTGCCTCTTCATTTACGTAGAAAGTGAAAATCTTTTTAAATAATAGAATGTTAAGGAACTATTTAAGGAACCAAAATCACGCTCATTAACCGACTTCAAAAGAGGAACTTATCAATTCGACCATAATTTTTATCTATGTATGTTCACCGATTTCTCGAGAATGCTTGAACCGATTCGGATAATTCTTTTTTCTCTTTTTGTTCGAAAGGGTATACTTCCCGAATGGTCCTGTAATCGTCAAGATCTGATGATGGAGAATCCTAGAGAAATCCAGAAAAATCTATAATTGTCAAAGCCTATCTTGAAGTGATTTGGGTGTTTCGATGTTGTAATGAATAACGTATTTATTTGGATAGAGATTTATACCATCTTCAAAAAAACACCTTCACAGATAATGCTTTATTTTAGAACAAATTTGGTTAGCATTAAAAGCGTTATAGACCTTAACATAGAGACATATAATAATAATAATAATAATGTTTTTATTGCAAGTAACCATGACTCATACAAATTGTTAGTAAGACTTACACCTATGTTAGTAGTTATATTTACATCACAATGAATTACTGTCGTAACATCCCATGGGAGATGGCACCACAGCGACCCCTGTATACACAGTCCAGCCTGCTTGCGATCATGCTCAGGATACTGTTGGAGCTGGCCCTCACTCTGCTTACCAGAGATGCACACCTCTTACGCATGGTAGCGTAAAAACAATCTATGTGCTGTCGCGGACTTTTTTTTTGATCTTTTAAATGGGAACAATTTTCTCATACATTATTTTTGCGAAATTTTAACCGTTCCCGCAGCGCACGCAGCGGAAGCTCTCAAAAGGGAAAAATACCCCCTTTTTTTAACATTATTTATTGGTGGTCTGCTACTAATTAAATAAGAACTGTCTGATGAACTCATCTTTGTTTAATACTACACTATTAAATTTTATTGCCTTTTGTTTATTTCACTTTTACACTAAGCACAATATTGCAAATTACCCGAGCACAACAATGGCGGAGAATTTTAGGTGCGTGAGAGCAGACGTAGACACTAACGCGCATGAGCACTTGTACCCAGGGAGAAAAAGTTATACTTTCTTCCCTGTATAGCGGGACGAAAATCGAACTTTCGGCGTCGGTAGGAGAAAAATTTTTTATAACTATTTATAACTATTTATACCTATTTATATCTATTTACACATATTTATACCAATTTATACCAATTCATATCTATTTATACCAATTTATACCTATTTATACTTATTGGGTACGGTTGGCCGTTGGGACCAGAAAGTGCTTGAGTGGCGACCGCGTACTGGAAGACGTAGCGTGGGCAGTCTTCCCACAAGATGGGCCAACGATCTATTGAGGTTCGCGGGGATCCGCTGGATGCAGGCAGCGCAGGACCGGTCTTTGTGTCGAGGCTTAGGGGAGGCCTATGTCCAGCAGTGGACGTCCATGGGCTGATAAGAAGAAGATACCTATTTATACCTATTTACTATATACTGATCAGGTGAAATACCTTACTGAAACCCCAGTTAACTAGTGCGTGCGCAGGACCTCGGTTCGCAAGCTATGCGGTTCGAAAATATCTGTCAAGGCTTTCATAAGCAAGAATTCCACATGACCACGATTGATTATGATGATGAATACCCATTTATACCTATTTTTAATTCAAATTTATTAAAATTTATTTTCTATTCTTAAGTTTGATTTTCTATAAAAGCGTATTTTGTTAGTTTTTTTAAACTATTATTTATTTTTCATTTTTTAGTTGAATTTAAACTTTTTCAATTTTTTTTTAATTTTGAATTGTCGTCGGTTCTTAATAAGTATACCAAATTTCGAGTTAATCCGACGTTTTGAAGGGGGTCAAAATCATGTTCAAAGATTCCGTTACACACTACATACATACGTCTGAAGCTAAAAGCTTATTAAAAAGGAAGAAACTTAAATTAGCAGTCCTTTGAGGTATACTTAATAGATTTGTCAGCAGGGATTCGCATAAACGATGGCGACCCAACATTGGCTGATTCCGTAATAGTTCGGTATAAAACGAACGCCCAGACATTCGTAATCTGCTGCCCAGCGGTTACGTGTCTCCCTTCTTTCATGTTAAGTTGTAAAAATCTAATGTTACTCTCAATTTTCACTCTTATACGATCAACCCCTATTTTTCCATCCCGATTTTTATTTTTTTTATTCTATGCACAGATCCGCAATAATGTTGCAAGATGGCAATCAAATATTATAATTGTAGTACGACAAATTCTTATTCAGAGTTTATAATTTCGAGTTCCTTTAATTATGATTTTTTTAAATTCAATTTGATCTCCCGCCCTCGCCGGTCGACTACTGATCAACTATCAATCGATCAGTTATTCCCGCCAGGTGTCACCACTCATCCAGCAAACATCACGTAGTAGGGATGAGGACGAAGCCGGTCTCCTGTCTTACTTACATTATTACTTACATAGATTATACACTTAATATATTTGAGAGCTATACAATACTATACATTTTTCAGCCATGATTTTTTGGTTTTATTTGTGTATCAATAGTATGTTCACTAGGTCTGAGAATCGGCTACTATCTATTTTTCATACCCCTAAGTGATCAGGGTTGTCCACCCCAAACATTTATTTTTTATTTTTATTTTTTGGATTATTATTTTTTTGGTTATAATGAGGTATTATGGTGTTGAATGAGGTTATTTTTTTCTACATTAGAATTTCCCTAGAAATCTTATTTAAGGCAACACAACGTTTGCCGGGTCAGCTAGTATTTATATATTATGAGTGTTGGACTCCCTAATAATAATGTCAATTTTAAATGTCCAGCGAAGCGGGCGAGTACGGCTAGTTCTTAATAAGATTACCTAGTAACTTATGTTTCGTAAAAATTATAAATGTACTATTTGAAAAAAAAAACTATCCAAGACTCCATTTACTAGTCAATAACAATCTAATAATACCTCAGGGCAAATGTAGTTTGTTCACAGAACAGTTACTGTTACGGAAGAGATAATATATTTTTATTGTTGATAGGTAGTGCGATGACGCTTGGTGTTAAGTTGTTATTGGACATCACAAGGATAATTCAGGTACCATCGTTGGGAGAGGAGGTCATGGTATAGTAATGGATTGGAAGATAGAGAAACGAATGTGTTATGTTTGGATAACGCGCATCCAACGTGCTGACCGGTAGTTCTTGTGAATTTTATACCTTTTTTTTTTGACGCTGGGGAATCCATTTATGGATACCCGGTCGAGGGGGGTAACAGACCGGGCTATGTCGGATTCCGGCGCCTCCAGAAATTTATACCTACGACCACTAAACCGCCGTTTCAAGGGATAGAGTAGCAAGGCGAGATGAGTTCCATATTAAAGTAGTTTAGTCATGCCACTAGATTGACTTGGTAAAGTTCTAGCTAAACGAATATTCAAATGCAAGTTGTTGATCAACAAGAGTCTTTAATAAGTTCGACTTCAAAATATCCCGCCTGCTGTTTCAAGACAGGAGAAAGTCTGCCGGATCCCTTCTAAGATTAAAAATGGCATTCAAACATATCATTTACTTTTCAGCAAGAGCAGGCAAGATGGTGAAAGTTATCACTGACTCTTTCCTTATTCCTTATATTTCCATATTTTCAAATCGTTGTATCAAATCTTATCTATTGTATTAATATTATCTAGTCATCGTCTCAAGTATAGTTACAACGGCTGCCTCGCCATTCAAACCGAAACGCATTACTGCTTCACGGAAGAAATAAGCAGGGTGGTGGTACCTACCCGCGCGGACTCACAAGACGTCCTACCACCAGTAAAAATGCCTTCCATCAAGCGTTTATATATTCGAGCATTGGGGACCGTTGTCATAATGCAATACTATCGAGGCTGACCTCTGATCTCAGGGTAGGTGGCGGTATTTATATTGTCGATGTCTATGGACTCCAGTAATCTGTTAACAATCCGTGGGCCGTAGCCTAAGTCGTCTATGCAAGGACCAGTTGAGAAAGAAATGAAGTTTATTTTGTAACAAACTGTGCATCTGTACATATCGACGCTTGAAAGGCAAACGTGACTAAGCGACAATAACTACTTTGTATATAAAGGATAGGCAATAACCATATTCGATGCGCAAAAAAAATATATTTCTAGGTCTATTAAAATCATTTCAATCCTACAGCTACTAGCTAGATTCTACTACAGCTAGATTCGTTAAAATAAATATTGTTTTCAGGTATTTCAACTTTAAATTAGTCTACTGTAAAGTTTACGAATTGTCGCTTAGTCACTTTTGCCTTTCAAGCGTCGNGGATAGGCAATAACCATATTCGATGCGCAAAAAAAATATATTTCTAGGTCTATTAAAATCATTTCAATCCTACAGCTACTAGCTAGATTCTACTACAGCTAGATTCGTTAAAATAAATATTGTTTTCAGGTATTTCAACTTTAAATTAGTCTACTGTAAAGTTTACGAATTGTCGCTTAGTCACTTTTGCCTTTCAAGCGTCGATATGTATGTGTGTATGAAACAGAATCTTCGAACGTGATTTTCACTCAATTCAAATCATTAGTGTATTTATGTTAAACTAGCTGTGCCCGTGACTTCGCTTACGCAAGTTGATCTGAGTGGCCGCTACTCACTAGGAAAGGTAATTACGTGAAAAAGCTATAGCGAGCTTTAAGAAACTAAAATAGTAAAGAAAGGGTAGGTCACTAACCACAGCGACCAGACACGCTTTGATTTCAGACAGAAACCTGACATAATCTAGAAACGACGTTAGGTTCCCCTCACCTTTCCACAAAGATGATCTGATGATCTACGTGTCCTGATTTAGTATTCCTAATGTAATCTATCATCTAAACTACGTAGTTTATAGTAGTAGTATTAGTAGTAATAGTAGTAGTAGTAGCAGTAGTAGTAGTAGCAGTAGTAGTAGCAGTAGTAGTAGTAGGAGTAGTAGTAGCAGTAGTAGTAGTAGCAGTAGTAGTAGTAGTAGAAGCAGCAGCAGCAGCAGTAGTAGTAGTAGTAGTAGCAGCAGCAGTAGTGTAGTAGTAGTGGTGGTAGTAGTAGTAGTAGTGGTAGTAGTAGTAGTAGTAGAAGTAGTAGTAGTAGTAATCGTAGGGTACCACGCTGTTACGAGTACATACGTCCCTCACAAATTGTATCCACGTCACCCTCTTGCGCTTGCTCCTTAACTTTCAAAAAAGTCATTCATAATTTTTTTTATACTAAGAAAAAACAACTTTGTTAATTAAATAATTTATTTGAAATGATATTTTCAAGTAGCTCTTATGAAGCAGCGTTTTCGATAATCCAGTTCGTGTAATCGCTGATGCCGGTACCGACTAGAGGGTACTCGTTATTAGCATCAGATTCCCCGAAGGATATTAGACTGATCAAAGCGTTCTGATAGAAAACGGGAGCACCAACGTCACGGGTAAAAAAGTCACGACCGCCCTCCCTGGGTAAGCCAAAGCAAAGCATTGTATTGGTAACTTCCCTGTCTTCGTATTTGCTCCTACAGGTGTATCGGTCTACTGTGGTGAGGCTCAGACCGTATAGGTTATCGTCGGTAACTGCACCTCCTTGCTGGAAACGATAATTTAAGTTTAAAAATCGCCTATTTATGCTGTGTGAAGAGCGAGACAGCTGTACAGTACTATAAAGTCTTCGATCATGTGTCTTAAGATGGGTGTCAGCGTGGAAATGCATACATTTCANTTTGCTCCTACAGGTGTATCGGTCTACTGTGGTGAGGCTCAGACCGTATAGGTTATCGTCGGTAACTGCACCTCCTTGCTGGAAACGATAATTTAAGTTTAAAAATCGCCTATTTATGCTGTGTGAAGAGCGAGACAGCTGTACAGTACTATAAAGTCTTCGATCATGTGTCTTAAGATGGGTGTCAGCGTGGAAATGCATACATTTCATTAAGTTGGCTGTGCTCATCTCCTCATCTAATGTAATAGACAGTCAAACTATTCATACATATATATTAATTGAAAAACGTTCTTATTGTGATATTTCTTTTGGCATTTCAAAGGAGTGCTACCGTCAGACAAGTGGCCATACTTAAAACTATAAAAGAAACTATTTTTTAGTATCCGGGAAGATGTTATATTTGCTCTACGTAGGACGTGAAAACAAAAACATTATATCTATTACTGATTGTGAAATTAAGCCAAATCCCTTTGAAGTCACGGTATGGCTGTTCCTTCCTTCAAGTCAGAATATATAACGACTTCGTGGCATGAATAGGAACGGCCATTACCAATAATTTTTTTTGCCAGGTTCCGAATGTCCTACGTTGTTCTCGTGATTGCCGCGCTTAAGGATGCTATATGGTGCAATAAATGGGACTGAGACGGTAAAAAGGCCCACCCACTACAATACTTCACTGCACTCTCGCCCGACGTTCGATTCCAATCCGAGATAGAATTCGTATAATGTAGAGGGGCTACCACGGCAAACACTACAATCAGACTCGCAAAGCTCACCCCAAGGACGCTCGGCCGGCTCGGTCGATGAGCTTACGCCGACCGTCAGGGTACGGCAGCCTCTTAGGCCACCCCAGGCGACGCCGTTGATGTTTCAGAAGATCGAAACCAGCCGAATCGGAAGCATGATACACCGCCATCCGGTTGCTTTTCCACAACCGTTCCGTAGGACTGCTGTCATACCTGAGTTTATAATACTGTCTAACACCAGTATAACGACGAACGGCTGCCGTTGCTCTAGACTAGCCTCTAGACTAGACTAGCCTCCTGATGATCCATGATCTCCTGTATCTACTGTCGCTGCCTTAAGGCATTCCCAGCACCGGTCACTGTTATCGTTGACGTGCATCTTAACCCAAGACATAATCCATTGATTCTTGCCGGACCTTGTCTCGTGATACCGATCGGGTGGTAAAATTCAACGAAGCACTGTTTTTGCTAAATTGTTACAGGCTGAACCCGTGAGCTCGCGCACTAATAAGGGTAAAACCAGAATAACTAGCTCCTCTTTTCCTCAATTTGCGAGGGAAAACTATGATACCTCTTATGCCACAACATATTCTGAATGTGAAATAAGCCGTATACAAAAGTTACATAGAAAGTCAGAAACTTACCGGAGTGTTTCCCCAACCGATGAGCTCGACGCTTAAGCGAGGGGGCACATATACTCCTTGAAGGATGACTGAGGCTTGTTGTATATTACCACCAAGGGTGACTGCTGAACTAAGACGGACTACGGAAATGTCGCTGGCCATATTCGTAGGATCGAATGAGTGATGGTTATTGGCAAGTAACACATTCACGATCAAGCCGCCTTCATTACGTATGTCAGAACCGAGGCGAATACGACGAGTATCGGGCCGGTAGAAGCTGCAAAAGAATTAAACATTTGAAATCACAGACCCCGAAGTGGTAATTCAAGAAAGCTAGAACGCCATACTAAGTTTTCAATTCGACCCTCTCTTCCTCTCCAGCCCCTTTGTCTGCAGTAGAACCCTTTCCGCATTCCAGACAAATCTCTCTTATTCTTCTTCTTCTTAGTCGTACACTTTTGATAGAGTGGCCGTGGTCATACATCAGTCAAATCCGGTGATACCGATGCTCTCGCGACGCGACGCCATTTGGCACGATGTTTCGCAGAGTGAAAGCAAGCATTTATGTTGCAATGAGCAATCATTTATGTTCCTCATTACTGAGGGCCGTGACTCTCCCGCTGCATCAGTTTCTCCCGTAGGATTTCCCTCCATCTGCTGCGATCCTTAGCTTCATGAGCATTCAAGGGCATTATGGAAGTTGAGGTTCGGAGAAGATCGTATTTGGTCCAACCGTCTCGTGGGACTGCGTGCTTTGGGACCTATCTATCTTACTTTTCTGTCTATCTAACTTTTTTTTCTTTTAGATTGTGACCCTCTTTTATATTTTATACGACTCTCTTATATTCCTACCTTAATTTTCGCTTTTTTTTATGCTTACATGTGTGGACGAGCTCACAGCCCACCTGGTGTTAAGTGGTTACTGGCCCATAGACATCCACAATGTAAATGCGCCACCCACCTTGAGATATAAGTTCTAAAGTCTCAAGTATAGTTACAACGGCTGCCCCACCCTTCAAACCGAAACGCATTACTGCTTCACGGCAGAAATAGGACCCCGCGCGGACTCACAAGAGGTCCTACCACCAGTAATAACGCAAATTATAATCTTGCGGGTTTCATTTTTATTACAGGATGTTATTCCTTCACCGTGGAAATTAATCGTGAACATTTGTTGTGTACGTATTTCATTAGAAAAATTGGTACCCGCCTGAGATTCGAACACCGGTGCATCGCTTAACACGAACGCACCGGACGTCTTATCCGATAGGCCACGACGACTTCAAATAGCTTGATATCATCCTATTGCTATACCAATATATTGACGCGTTTCGATTTGAAGTGTAAGGGCAGCCGTTATCTATATATTAATACGTGAAGCAAAAACTTTGTATCCCTTTTTACGAAAATTGCGCGGACGGAGGAGTATGAAATTTTCCACACTTATAGAGAATATAGAGAAGAAGTGCACAATACTAATATTTTTTTTAAATAATGCATAAAAGATACATTAAATCAATAATGAAAACATTACACACACTACATACCATATATTTGAGGCACACACGCATGCAAACTATTTATTGTCAAACTTTTGTTCTTGACGTCTGTTGTCAAATTGAGATTAAATATTGTTTGTCTTTATTAATATTTTTTACGTCTTGCCGAAATTTGTGATTATAGAAGTATAAAGTACAATCATAATAGTGTACAAACTTACAATTCCAATTAATTATAGTCGAATTTCGACTACTGCGGGTCCTCTAGTTATATTAAATACAACAATTTGAGAGTTCGTTTCATAAGATAAAGGTTAGTAGAACACTTTTTACTAGTTAGTAAAACAATTTCAAGATGCTTACGCTCCAGAGAAACAAGTGGCAACAGACAGGATATGGAAGTTGGTGAGTACGGCACCAGCACACTGCTGGATCCAAACGGTGCCCAGGGCGACTTCAACTTGAGCCAAACTGGGGCGGTCACTGATAGGCACTCTAGTGCCAAGGTTGTTGGCTGAGATGCAGCTAGCTGCTATAAATATCAAGTTCCATGATTTACCAAAGGTACCTCTAAATATAAACATAATTAACTATTATTAAATAAACGGAAATATTAAGATCTGAGATTAGGGTTAAATGAACCAAGACATAAGTAGTGGTACAAGATAACATGATTTGGTCCGACTATTCTGCCTACTCGTAGGGCAAAGCAAACCTGCGTACCTATTTTAAGGGCAAGATAACCACTTTTTTTATAAACATCAAACAAGTATAGGGTCCGGCATACTTAATTACTTCAAAGACATATTCATCGTCCACTTAATCCAATATGTCCTCAGCAACTGTTTACGTCGTGGTCAATGAGTTTTTAGATGTACAGAACGAATTGTAATAAAGCTTTCGAAGCTCAATTTACAAAGAGGAAGTGTTCAGTCACGATGAGCTTTCCGAATTTATGGGTAAAAGCGATTAAAAAAGCACAAGTACCTGCGAGCAAGGTCAGGGTAAAAGCGAGGTAGGCCATTGCGATGCGAGACAAAAACGACTACAACATGCACAATATACCGGTTCCTGCTTTTATTCTCTTCAGTAAATTGTGTTTCCTTTGATAAACTATCTTTATTGAGGATATTTATCAATACTCATAGGCCGACGAATAGCACGTTAGTCATTCGTGACCATAGAAACTGCGAAGTGTTCATAACGTCGGAAAGAATAAAACGAAAATAATTCACGGGGTATCGAGCCGTAATAATTATAATCACGATAATTATGTTATTGTTTAGATAATTATGTTAGTGTTAGATGTTATTGTTTTGTTATTTATTTGAATATTTTTATTGCTTATATAGGCCAACGTTCTCATAGCCAATCTGGTGCTAAGTGGTTAGGAGAGGCCAACAACGTGTTTTCCGGCACACAACTTTGAAGTCGTCGTGGCCTAATGGATAAGACGTCCGGTGCATTCGTGTGTAGCGATGCACCGGTGTTCGAGTCCCGCAGGCGGGTACAAATTTTGTAATGAAATACGTACTCAACAGATGTTCACGATTGACTTCCACGGTGAAGGAATAACATCGTGTAATAAAAATCAAACCCGCAAAAATATAATTTGCGTAATTACTGGTCGTAGGACCTCTTGTGAGTCCGCGCGGGTGGGAACCGCCGACCGCCACCATGCCTATTTCTGCCGTGAAGCAGTAATGCGTTTCGGTTTGAAGGGTGGGGCAGCCGTTGTAACTATACTGAGACCTTAGAACTGATATCTCAAGGTGGGTGGCGCATTTACGTTGTCGATGTCTATGGGCTCCAGTAACCACTTAACACCAGGTGGGCTGTGAGTTCGTCCACCCATCTAAGCAATAAAAATAAAATAAAATAAAAATAAAACTTGAGACTTGAGGTGTAATGATGCCCTTCGAATCGGATCGGCATAATGCTTCGTGGCAGAAGTAGGCAGGAATGCGGTGTCTACTCCTGCGCATTACAGTTCGCTCTATCATCAGTTTCTTTTATCGATCCACGTAATTCAATTTTCTATTCTACCAGCCCACACACGTCTACTGGTGGACATAGGCCTCCCCCAATCTTCGCCACAAAGATCGGTCCTGCGTTGACAACGGATCCAGCGGATCTCCGCGAACCTCAATAAGTCGTCGGTCTATCTTGTGGGAGGCCTACCCATACTACGTAATTCCATATTTGACAAGAACTCTCCATCTTTCCCTACCGTTTTAGGAATGATTTTAACACACCAGTTCGCATCAATTGCCCAAACCAACAGAGTACAATTTTCTGGTAAAGTTCGAGGACTTTTTGATGCACTTTGTCCTATTTACAGCCAGTAATCTCCGATAAGACTCCTTTAAATTTTATTTGTATCCATTGATAAAGATTTAAGCCATTTTATTTATTTATTTATCACATCATAAATTGTTGTGATGTTGTTTTGGTCTGAAATTAGAACTCGGATCGTTAATTTTATCGATTTATAAGCATGTTTTTGAAAAAAGTTGCAATATTATAATTAAAAACTTTTTACAGGTGCATTCTAGGAAGATTTTGGCTGCCTGTACCCGCATCTTTGTTATTAGGATCCTGCTTTTTAAAGCGCAGATTCGTGTGAAATATTCAAAAAGGCTGGAGAATCACACGGCAATCACATTCATTATTTTCCTTATATTCATTATAATTACATATTATATATACATTCATTATAATATTGACGTGTCTCCATAATCAGTTCATTGAAGCTGATGTGGCCTAAACGACAATGTACTCTTATCGAAGGAACTGTGCCGATGTTCGAATCCCACATGCAAATACCAACTTTCTAATCAAATAGATACTTAGCACACGTGCAATAACTATTTCCACTATGAAGGAATAGCATCGTCTAACAAAAGTCAAAACCGGCAAAGATTATAATTTAGTTTTAAACACCGTGTTAATCCACACGGGTACGTAACATCATTCTTTTTGTCGCAAACCAACAATGCGTTCCGGCTTAATGTATGATTGAGACGGTCGCCATACTACACAATTGACTTTTGTGAAAATTGGCATTAGTAAGTGGTGACCACGGCCCAATAGGTAAAAAACAGTCTCAAAAAATTAATTGCGCAGACATAAAATCCACACATCCGTTTTGATTAAAAGGCAATTACAGACTTAGATGTGTAATTGTTTTAAAGCTGATAATGAATGGAAAGTCTTATTATTTTATTTCGTGTAGTAAATAATATGTACATTCAAGTGTGACTTGAAGTTTTTCATTATTAGTTTGTTGGTGTGCGGCATTTTTCATTTTTTTTAAAGGATACTCATGTAAAAGATCTTAAGACCGTAAGATCGCATTATAAGTCCGCATGGGTAGGTATTACAATCCGGGGTGTTTCGCCCACCAATCCATGCATTTCAGCTTAAAGACTGGGATAGCCATTATACTATTCGATTGAGATTTGGAGCACATGTCTCAAGATGTGTAGCGGTATTCAAATTGCGATTTTTATGGATTTCGGTAACTATTTAACGCTAGGTGGTATGTGGATCAGGGTTCCCGTTTATCATATATAAAAAAAACGCTTCTGGCTTTCTCTGGTGACTGCTTGTAATAACTATTATCATCTAAAACTTTTATTCCAAAGTATAATGTGTTAGGAATCGTTTGCCAAAACGTTAATTCGTCAAAAAGAATCAAACGATCCAACCTTGATATTGAACACCTGCATGCATTAAAATAATTATTGCCTTTACACAATCTTACACGGGTATTTACAGTTAATCCTTCAAGAAGATAGTAGGAAGATTACTAAGTGTTTTTTTTTTCAACGCAACGGATTAGTGACATCCTATCATCAACAATCGTCACCAGTGGGTTTAGGGCTTGTTAGCCAGACGCCAAAATATGAAAACCTGTCATTATCGTTCTGTGCCAAATTAGTTCAGTCCATCAGGGCATTATCCGCAGTCATCTTATTCAATTTCATTTCAATACTTTAATATTAGCATGATTATTGTGTTTTAATTAAGTCTTTTAATCGTAACAAGACAAAGTGACTCTCGCCATGAGACATAAGAAGCAGATGAAATCAGAGCGATCAATTTCCAATCCTAAGAGCCGTATTCTGCGTAAAGAATAGAAGCTAAATAAACTAATTTGTTTATTTAAATCTGAACAAAATCGAAAACGAAACACCGGTCGTCCCAAACTCTAGAACTGTATACCACAATAAATAGTCAAATAAAATATAAAAAAAGAGAAAATTTGTTTCTGCCCTATACACAAAATAGCAAAACCGGGGTCAGTGATTGTCCAAAAAAAAGCGAATTTATATAATCATTTGATTGTCCATAGCCATTAATTCCATACTTGGACTCACATTCAAAGCTAAGTAGTCTCGCTTCTGTGCGTATTATTTGCCAGGATTTACATAAGTAGGCTTAATGGACAGAGCTAACAACGCCTACAGTTCTACATCATAATATCATTCATTTCTTCAATATATCCTGTATTAGTTATCTCAAGAAATATTGAAAATTATTACTTTTTCAAGCAGACGATCATGTCGATGTACGTCAGGGCAGCCGAAACTCTCCGCTAATTCTATTTCATGTTCTCCTGTATGTCATAGCGCTACGGAAACACCTTGGCCCCTCCGTTCTGGGGCCAAATGGTGCTAAAGATCTCTGGCAAAGCACAGTGGATATACGCAGCTCTTTCAGATAGTAAGGATGATTCTGCCGACACGTTGTAGGAGCTGCGATGGTAAAAATGTTAGGACTACTGTCAGCAAATTCCCTGGTCATCGTTCTCGTCAAACCCGTCGTGTGCGACGAAGGGCTCGGCGAGTAAATTAACCCACAGACACAGTCCACTCAGTTTCTCGCCGGAACTTCTCAGTGGGTCGCGTTTCCTATCCGGCGGTAGATTGTGCGAAGCACTACTCTCGCTGAGCTTAGTGTTAGCAACGTCGTCAGGTTTGATCCCCGTGAGCTCCTACTCGTTAGGGTTACGCTAAAATGGCCTCTCAAGGCCATCAGCTTAGGTAGGGAAAAAAAGCAAATTCGCCAGGCTGAGTCACGTTCGGTGAAGCTAGGTTACTTCGAGGCTACTAGCATAAGCAGGCAAAGAAAATAGAAAACCACTTGACACTAGGCCGTGAACTCCCCTTTGACCCTTCTACATAACAATAACAAAAAAATGAAGCCCACTGTAAATTTTTTTGAGGAATTGATTAGTATTGAGAAATTAAATAAAACTAGTGGTTCCCCGGTAGTCGAAGTTTGACTATAATTAATTGAAATTATAAGTTTGTACACTAATAAGATTCTATTGTCAAAGACTATTAATTATATAATTAATTATATTATTATTATTACACTTCTATAATCACAGATTTCGCTAAGACTATATGTATTATAGACAAATATTAATACAGACAAACTATATTTCATCTATTCTCATTTTCACGATAGACTATAAGCATTAAGAAAAGTTTGACAATAAACAAATAGTATGCAATCGTGTGTGTGTCAAATACATGGTAGTGTGTGTAATGTATTTTTTATTGTTTTAATGTACCTATATTCTATGCTTAATTAAAAAAAAAATTAACATTCTGCACTCCGTCTCTATATTCTATAGAGAATATAGAGAACTTATAGAAGTGAGAACACTTATAGAAGTGTGGGAAATTTCATACTCCTCCGTCCGCGCAATTTTCGAAAAAAAGGGGTACAAAATTTTCGCTTCACGTATTAATATATAGATACTAAATTAATCAAAAAAGACTTAAAGCTATAGATATATTTTCAGATAGCCTTTGCTTTCTGTCACTAGGCCATTCATGCTAATTCACTTTATTATCGTCAATTTAATATTATTCATGTAATCTTATCAACTTCGACTGCAGCAGATTGTAGGGCAGTAGTGATATAGATGCATTTTGTGTTACTGGAATCAATTTATATACACCTAAATATGAACACCCTCTTTAAGACGTAAGTCAAAACAGTATTATTAGTAATCCTATCACACGTAGGAGGAAATAGTTGGAAGAGAAAACGTTATTTGGAACACACTGCTGCTATGAGAAACTCGGGAGAATGGAGTAGCAAGTAACTACAGCTGGTCTTCTTTGAGACAGCCAACGTTCTGGAAAATGAGGCATTCGATACCAATTTGAGGTATAGCCTGCACCATCGAGATGAACTGTTTCTCGACTTTGGCGTCATCAGAGCGGCTAAGATTCAAGCTTAAGGTGCAGCGTTGGAGAAATCTCCATCACTAGTTGGTCTTTTTTATTTTATTTTTATTGCTTTGATCCACCCGAGCTCACAGCCCACCTAGTGTTAAGTGGTTACTGGAGCCCATAGATATCTACAACGTAAATGCGCCACCCACCTTGAAATATAAGTTCTAAGGTCTCAAGGTCTCTTACAACGGCTGCCCCGCCCTTCAAACCATTACTGCCAACGCTGCTTTACGGCAGAAATAGGCAGGGTGGTGGTACCTACCCGCGCGGACTTATAAAAGGTCCTACCACCAGTAAATACGCAAATTATAATTTTGCGGGTTTGATTTTTATTACACGATGTTATTCCTTCACCGTGAAAGTCAATCGTGAACATTTGTTAAGTACGTATTTCATTAGAAAAATTGGTACCCGCCTGCGGGATTCGAACACCGGTGCATTGCTAGATACGAATGCACCGGACGTCTTATCCTTTAGGCCACGACGACTTTCCTTAAGTCTAGTTTGAAATCGATGAAATTGTATAGGCGGTTTTTTTTAAAATAGCATATATCAATTTAAAAAAAATGTCATTTTACCTATAATGGATTATAAACGTTATAACCAATGTAATTTTGAGTTTTTTTTTTTGTAAACCTTATCCTTCTAACGACAAATATGATGTAGTACATATTTAAATGCTCTATGGCTTAAGCTGTTGGATGGATTTTGAAGATGTTGGCCTTACATTCGATTTAGTTTAAAATATCATGGTCAAGAAAAATAATAAAATGTATTTCTATTAATAGCTAGCAAATTTCTGATTTCAAATATAAATGGAAACTTATGGTCATAGTATAAATGTCTATATATCAAATAGATATATGACGTCATCGGATTAAAAGCTCGACATCCTCGTATCGCGTGCATATTGCGAGATACGACTATAGCTGTCCAATTCTAATCGAACCTAATGCATTTGTTTATATTTTATTTATTGCTTAGATGGGTGCTCACAGCCCACCTGTTAAGTTAAGTGGTTACCGGAGCCCATAGACATCTACAACGTAAATGCCGCCACCCACCTTGAGATATAAGTTGTAAGGTTGTAAGGTTGGGGTAGCTGTTGTAGCTATACTGAGACCTTAGAACTTATATCTCAAGGTGTGTGGCGCATTTACGTTGTAGATGTCTATGGGTTCCAGTAACCACTTAACACCAGGTGGGCTGTGAGCTCGTCTACACATCTAGGCAATAAAAAAAAACGCAAATCACGTTATTTTTTCAAACCTTGAATCCAAGCACGACTCAACATTAACCTTCTTCTGGGACGCTCGGGTAAATAACGTCAAATGCAATACGAAATACTCGTATAGCACCTTTGCTTTAAAAAGCTTTTCATTCAAACTTCGTATGCATTCAAAAGCTCCTTTTAGCCTAGACTTAGCGAGGCTCCCGGGTCCCGATCAATAAGACCTTACCTATCCCGGAACGTTGGGACTCAACGCATGCGCAGTCGAGAGCCGGGAAAGCGTAAACTAAAACACGTTTGTACGTCAAAAATAATTGTTTTTGAGTGAAAAATGAGTCGAAAAAACGAACAGCATGCCGATGGTGAGTGATTTTTTGAGTTTTGAGTGATTGTTTTCGTGTTTCCGAGTTTATCTGAACATATTTAATACGTAGCCTGCGATGAAAGACACAACGGGCAAAGGCTCCGATTGTTTTCTGTTAAATGAAAAGACATTTTATTAGATGTAAAATTTACTATACACACTCGCGTCAATAAGAGAAAAATAAATTACAATCAAATGTTCATTGTGAAAAAAAAAACCAATTGTGTATTTTTTTCAAAGAATACATTAAAATGGTCATTTAACATGTTTTTAAGTAGGCAACGTATTAACGTATTAACGATAAGACAGTATTACATATAGCAATAATAATAAAATAAAAAAACTTGAAATATAAAAAAAAAACAATATCGAACGTATTGCATAAAATGGATGCAAATCTTGAGAAGTATATAGTTATAGTCGAATCACAATAATTGGGTAAACACTGGTTTGGACAAACAGACAGATGAATTTGTATGACCAAGGTTTGATTATTTCGGTAATTAGGTAGATATTCAAATAACCAATTGCATCTGAAGGCTCCTATTACCGGATTGGGTCAGTATTTCGGATTCATAATATAGTAAGTACCATCGACCGGTTCTAGAAGATGTATTTCCAATCACAGTGTTTCCTGAGCGCTAGAGCATACTCTTCATCAAATATTTTGATACATGTCGGGTATATTGGTGCTTATTGATTCCGTAGGATCGTCTGATTGTGGAAATAAAATCACAAACCAAAGAAACTGCCTGACTTGAAGATACTGTTTGTAATTTTTGTGTGCAAAGAAATGTAAAGATTAATATAATAATATATTGTTTTCATAGAAAATTAGCAGCTAGCTATACACTATTAAAATGTTGACGAACAAAACCTTAGTCTTCCGTGAACCACGTAAACCGTAGTGTATTCATATCTATAAAGAAACGCTAGAAGGAACAAATTCGAAATCGAACTGAAAAAAATCATTTTAATTTATTTGTTCTCATATCTGAAATAGAATTATAGTTTTATCTGTGTTCAATTGGAACCTTTTTACCGCTCTAATAACTCTTCTTATCGTATTATTCAATAATATTAGTATAATATAATTTTATAAGATTACTAGTGAGTAGATAGTAAGTAGATTACTGGTGGTGGGTCCTCTTGTGAGTTCGCCTGGGTAGGTACCACCACCCTGCCTATTTCTGCCGTGAAGCAGTAATGCGTTTCGGTTTGAAGGGTGGGGAAGCCGTTATGCTGTAAAAACTGAGACCTTAGAGCTATATCTCAAGGTTGGTGGCAGCATTTGCGTTGTAGATGTCTATGGGCTCCGGTAACCACTTCAGACGTGAGGTGGGCCGTGAGCTCGTCCACCCACTTAAGTAATAAAAAATTAATAAATAAAAGAGTAGGCAGACAGACGGCCAGAAGCTAACGGCCAACCTTCAGGATTGAAGAGGCACCGGAAGAAGAAGAAGGCAGACAGTAGTTAAAAAGTTGTTTTCTTCTTTGTAGGCTCAGAAGAAATGCTGGAGTCAATAGATGAACTAAAAGAACGACTGACTTCCATGAAGAAGATGATGGAGGAACGTAAGGCCGCCGGATCCGGCACCAAGGACTTATTCCAAGGTCACGCGCAGAGTCTCCAGGGCACCAACATGATCGACGGGAACTTTTTGAGTTTCGTCTTCGGGGGCTCGCTGTTTGTGATTTTAAGCGTCTCTGTCTATGCTTTCTACAATCTGTATCACGCCGTCTTAAAGAAATTCCCTTCGAAGCACACAGAGCTTTAAACATTCGGCACTAGGGTTCAGATTACGAGATACCAACTAACCGCAAAAGTCATGAACGGAATAAAAAGATTTCGTGGCATTCATTATTACATCTTAAATTTCAGGCGATTTGAAAAAAAAAAGAAAAAAAAAACTTCTAGATCTTTTTCTTGTGACGTATTGGAATATTCTTATCTGGATAGATAATTTAATCTTTAAGTATAATAACGTCGTATATAGCGTCGTATAACCTAATAAAATCATGAATATTAATATCTACAATAAAGTCTCTATCAGCGAATTGAGTACACCATGAGTAGCAAATATACAATATGTGATCATTTCAAACTTTCAATCTCATTGTTGTCGTGTGTATGTTAAATTAACATTTGCTCAATTTAGAAGCTGGAATTCTTTTTATGTAAAATGGTTACGTCAAATGTAACGTCATTTATCGCTGTCACAGCTGATGTCTGTGCCACAGCAGGAATAGGCAGGGCGGCAGTAACTATACTTTTATTATATAATAGGTTGGGGAAATCCAAAAACAGTTTGTTACCTAAACTGTCATCGGCAAATACGATTCGAGGATAATATTGTATGATGTACCTTTTGTAATAAATATAATTTCTTCATTACACTACATTAAGGATATTTACAAATTGTGATCTGAACGGGTGTTGTTTTACTCTATCAAAGATATCGGAACTAAACTTAAGAATTTTTAACATTAACTATTTTGTATTAATTATCATGTATTTCATTCACTACAACCATTCTAATGTATTAATTACGGTCACTTCCTTACGACTAGCATATTGGGCGACGGCCTGGAACTTTAATATTATCTACCTTATCCACTTTATACGTAATAGGTTCGGGAAAAAGTCTTTTCGCATTATAGTATGTATGAACTTTTAATAAAGTCTCTTTGGCTATACTATTTGTATCTGGCTGGTTTTGGTATCATTAAAAGTATACATTTTAAAGAAGATAATTCCAAACTCAAATTAGGAAAATGTGTGATTTTTATTTATTTTTCGTACTGTCAAGATGAGTGAATCTAATGAAGAAATTCGATACATTTTAAAATTTTATTACAAAAAAAGTTAAAATGCAATGCAAGCCGCAAAAAAAAAAGCGATGTTTATGGACCTAGTGCAGTGTCTGTGAGAGTAGCACAAATTTGGTTTAAGCGTTTTCAATCCGGTAATTTTGATGTCAAAGATGCACGTCGCTCTGGTCGGCCTATTACGGATAAAATCGATGGCATTTTTGAAAAAGTGGAGCAAGATCGGCATATCACTAGTTACGAGGTAGCTGAAGAACTGGGAATTGATCACAAAACAATTTTGGCGCATTTGAAAAAAAACTGGGTACACAAAAAAGCTCGGTATTTGGGTACCTCGCGAGCTCACTGAAAGAAACCTAATGAACCGTGTACTCATTTGTGAATCTTTATTACGAAGTAATGAAACCGAACCAATTGTCGCCAATTGGCGACTGCTAAAACCAATTGTCGCGGTATTTTGATCAGAAGCCCCAAAATTTCTATAGCAATGGGATCATGTCCCTACCTACAAGATGGCAAAAAGTTATCGAACAAAATGGTACCTACATACTTTAGTTAAATGTAAATAAACTATCTTAAAAAATGTTGTGAATTTTCTTAAAAAATGCGGATAAACTTTTTCCCCAACTTATTATGTATGCATATTCATTTAGGAATAACAATTTGTACACTAATATGGATTTCATTCACATACGATTTCATTCATTCGTGTGTATTTCTTAAAATAAAATTTTAAATATTCGTTTTTCTTTTTTTTTTCTGATTCCCAATTTATTTTAGTATAAAAAAGTTTGTATGTTGTGTATACATCACAACGATAAATGATTAAAGGTATAAAAGAATGATAGGAAACGATCTCGTGTATAAAAAACTGCGGTACCGTCATTAACATTGTCATTGAGCATTGGAATATTCGATGGAAAAAATGTACCGGTAAAAAACTAAGACACACCGAAAGAGCTGTAATTTGTTGAGCATTATTTATTCATGCAGTACAGCAATACTAAAATGCATAATAAATGCAAATTGTTCTTACGCTCAGTGTGGCCAATAAATTACCGCTTTTACATAAATTAACTTCATGGTTAAAATATGTACAAGGAGACCCGGATAGTTTTTAAAACTTACTTTAGAAGGAATGCAGAAAAAACTCGCACTCAATAGAAGAATAGAAATATTTTAGAACTTAATGATGTACTCTTTCCTTACCTATTCGCCCTTAGTCTAAGTTGATATTCCTCCCTCCTACGGACGCGGACGGTAAGCTCACGTGCTTAGCCTAAAGAAATTTGCTAACACTAGCTCAAGCAAGAGCAGTGCTTCCCAAACTTTACTACCGGGTCGGAATAGCGACCAACTGAGAAGATCCGATGAGAAACTCAGTGGGTTGTGTCTATGGGTTAGAAAAGTGAAAACGGTGATTGGTGCTTGAAGAGCTTAAAAGCACTGAGATTGGGTACGGAGGGTCGGGCAGGACGCTTCGGACGACGGTAGCTTTGCGTTGCCCCGTCACCTGAATCGGATATGAATGAGGTACAGTAGTATTCAATAGGGCACCAATTAAATAAATAGTGTCATTGGTATCATGAATTTAATGGGAAAAAATATTTATGAGATTTGATTTTGTAGCCTTAGTTCGCAACAATGCTATGAAGCCTCCACCACATGTGACTTCTGACAACTGGTTATAGGAGTTCAATTATTGTCGTACCATTCCCAATGAAACCAGCGTAATGGAGGCCTCCAAACTGCGACTACCGAAGATAGCATCGAACCAACTGTCTGACAAAAGAATGACTTATCAGCAGATTCTAGCAAGCCTTATAGGAATATGTTTTCTAGCACAAAGCATTCTAACGCCCAAATATTCCTGCTCTTATATACATACATATATCCCCCACAATATGACTGAAGTTCCAAAATGCCGAGCAACCGATTGATGTTGCCAAATGTAAAGATTCGACAGAGCTGCTTCAAATCCTGTGTTTAACATCCTAACAGATGAGACAGCATGGGCCGATTAGCGCGATACCAAAATCAAAATGCATCCTCCGCAAATACTGTTTCCTTCTTCCTTCAAAGGATTGACAGCAAAAGTGGAGAGAAAACAGGGCCTGGGGATTAGGAATGTTCATTTCAGAGTAGTACACTAATATTGTATTTTTGTCTATGGGATACATCATCATCAGCCCATAGTTGTCCACAGCTTGACGCCTCTCCCAATTAGCACCAGAGAAACCAGTCTTCGGCTCTCCACGTCCAATTCTTACCGACTACCCTTCAACGGTCATCGCACTTAAAAACCAGTTCCGGTCGGTTCGACGTCACATACATATGTCCAGCCCACTGCCCCTACAGCTTGCCGACTCCCTGAGCTATGTCAATGACTTTACTTCAATGTCGTATAACCTCAATCTTTATTTTATCCGTCAAAAAAGCTCCGAACATAACTCTTTTGTAACTGGCTTAGCGACGTTGAACTGATCAGGGGATACGGTATCACTTAATACTGGGTGAATTGTAAGCTTGTTCACCTGAATATCATCACCCTCTCTCAGTCACCTGGGGCCGGCGCAACATGTTTTCTCCTTCCATACTCGTCTATCATATACCATTTCTTCGCTCAAATCAAATCAAATCAAAATCAAAATCAAAAATTTTTTTATTCAACATAAATGAAAGTACATACTTGTTGAACGTCAAAAAAACTACCGCCAATTCACAAGAACTAGCCTCCGTCCTGAGAAGAATTGGCAAGAAACTCAGCGGGCATGTCTTTTTTTTTTACATATGAAATTATTATTTATTTATTTTTTAATATTAGATTTTTTTTTAAAATATGAATTTTTTACAATGAGTTATATAACGTAACAATTACTACAATATTGAAATGCCTGGAGCGAGCAACTTATTCCCACTTTGTGCAATCTTCTAGATAATCATTGACTTTATAATAAGCTTTATTGCACAGATGTTCTTTAATAGTTTTCTTAAACCTATGTATATGTAGGTTCTGAACATCTTGTGGGATTTTGTTGTACAGGCGCACAGACAAACACCCGAATGAATTTCGTATCTTATGTAACCTACTCATCGGCACAACAAGCTTGTGTTTGTTCCTAGTATTTCTATTATGTATGTCCGACTGTTTAGGAAACTCCTCAATATGTTTACGAACATACATCAAATTTTCAAAAATGTACTGGGATGGCATAGTGAGAACTTTAATTTCTTTAAATTTCTCCCTCAGGGATTCCCTTGAGTGCATGTTATAAATAGCACGTATAGCTCTTTTCTGCAGAATAAATATCATTTCTACATCGGCCGCATTGCCCCATAGCAAAATGCCATAGGACATGACACTGTGGAAGTAACTAAAGTAAACTAAACGAGCCGTGTCCGCGTTTGTTAACATTCTAATTTTTTTTACTGCGTATGCTGCAGAGCTGAGCTTACTCGCCAATTTATGAATATGAGGTCCCCATTGCAGTTTGGAGTCCACTGTTATACCAAGAAATACGGTTGACTCAACAAGCTCCAATGATTCCTCAGAAACAATTACATCACTATCCACTTGTCTCACATTTAAAGATGGTTTAATACATTTTAAAGTAAATTTAATACATTTAGTTTTCTTACTATTCAATAATAGGTTATTGATACGGAACCAATGAACCACACACGAAATCGCATCATTCACTTCGTCATAGACTTGTAATTGTCGTTTAATTTTAAATAATAAAGATGTATCATCTGCGAATAATACGACCTCGTGTCGGGACTCAATAAAACTAGGTAAATCGTTTATATATATTAGAAATAAAAAAGGACCCAAAATGGAACCCTGAGGTACACCCATTTTCAACAAGGTGCCTGAAGATCTATTACCTTTCACATCTACTGTTTGTATCCTTCCTGATAAATAGGAAGTAATAAGTTCCAATGCACC